CAGGCTGGGGAGGCGGCTCAGCCCGCAGTGCTTGCCTGGCAAGCGTGAGGATGCCAAAGCCTGATGAAGTGGTGGCCGGGTGGGACGGGAGGACCCCCAGGGTTCGAAGGCTGGCCAGCCCTAATCGGTAGCAAGCCCAGGCGCCGGTGAGAGACCTCAGAAAAGCAGCATGGACATCTCAGGAATGTCCCCTGAGCTGACATCTCAGGAATGACCGCCAGCCTACACCACACGCAAACACACCCACAGCTCAGTGGTGGAGTGCTGGCCTCGAAGGAACAAAGTCCTGGTTCAACGCTCAATAAAAAAAAATAAAAGCAGCTGGTGGCCCTCCTTGGCATGAAGCTGCAGGATCGAGAAGCAGCGGCAACAGCAGCGCCTCACTGGGCAGGTTTACCACAGCACTGGTCACTGCGGCAAGGTGTGACATCAGCCTCGATGCCCATCAGCACACAAAGGGGACACGAAAATGTGCTGCTCCTACTCAGGGCATTTTGCTCAGGCACAAAGAGTGAAATCACAGCAGGACAGTGGTGGCGCACACCCTTAATCCCAGCACTCAGGAGGCAGAGGCAGGAGGATCTCTGCATGTGAGGCCAGCCTGGTCTACACGGCAAGTTCCAGGGCAGCCAGGGCTACAAAGCGAGTCCAGGACAGCCAAGTCTGTGAGTTTGAGGCCAGCCTGAGCTACACAGAGTTTTAGGACATCCAGGGCCATATGTAGAGATTGTAAAATTCACACTGCCCGATATCCAGTTTAAAAGACCAGTGGGTGTGTACAGGAGCTGTAGACCATGGCCCTGGGGAAATGAAGGCCTGCTGGGAACGGGCCCAGAGATGATTTGGATGTTCACAGTCAAGCCGTGTGTTTAGAGGGCCGGTGATATATTTCGTATTTAAGAAGGCAAAGCAGCCCGTGAGCATGATGGGGGCGGGACACTGTGGGCAGACGATGGGTAAAGGTCAGTGAGGACCCGTGTCCATCTGAGACAGACTCCAGGGAGTCGTCCTTTGTTCTCTGCATGTGCGCGCACACACTGACACACCACATACATGCACATGTACAAACACAACACACACATATACGTGTGTACGCATACGCACATACACACCCAACTGTTCATGCACATAACAGACACAAATACATACACACATATATGCACATACACTCATTCACATACATACACACATAAAACATACATACATGGGTATATACAAACATGCATGTACATTAATACACATACATACCCTATACAAACACACACATACATACACTCGCTAAATAAATAAATTATAGGGCTGGAGAGATGGCTCAGAGGTTAAGAGCACTGGCTGCTCTTCCAGAGGTCCTATGTTCAATTCCCAGCAACCACATGGTGGCTCACAACCATCTATAATGAGATCTGGTGCCCTCTTCTGGCATGTAGGCATACATGCAGGCAAAACGCTGTATAAATAATAAATTATATATTATAATAAATTATATATAATAATAAATTATATATAAATAATAAGCAATATATTATTTATATAATATATAATAATATATAAATAAATCTTTAAATCAATAAATTATAACATAAAACCTGCTAGATGAAATTAACAGCATATTGGACGTTGTAGAAGAAAAGATTGTAAGAAGAGAGACAAGAAGACAGCAATAGAAATGACCCAAGATGAGGCTCACAGAAGAGAAAGACTGGAGGAAAACCAAACAGCAGGAAACAGGCAGCAGGATGACTAAAGCCAATGAACAACACAGGTCTAACTCAAGATGGGAGACAAGGGCAGGGCAGGAAACTATATACGTACTTGAGGAAGTAATGGCCAGCCCAGCCCTGAAGAAACTGAGGCAGCAGGGGCGATAGAACACCCTTTAATCCCCGCACTCGGGAAGTAGAGGCAGGGGGATCTCTCTGAGTTCCAGGCCTGCCAGGGTTCTGTTACAGAGAAACCTGGTAGAAAACCAAACCAAAAAGAAAAATAAAACAGAAATTAAGCCAGGTGTGGTGGCCCACACCTGTGATCCCAGTGCTCAGGGAGGCAGAGGAAGGGGATCTCTGTGAGTTCAAGGCCAGGCTGGTATACAAAGGGAGTCCAGGATAGCCAAGGCTACACAGAGAAACCCCGTCTCAAAAAAAAAAAAAAAAAAGAAAAGAAAAGAAACAAACTGAGGTAGGAAGATCATGAGTTTGGGGCCAGGCTAGGCTGCATAGATTCTCAAAATGAAACAACTGGGTCAAAGCTCTCAGGTCTCACCATTTTCATCATCTAAAGCAGCTATGAGTCCATCTGCAGGTACAATCCATCCAGGGGCCCAATTTTTCCCTATCTTGTGGAGTGTGAAGTTAAACAAGTGAACTGCCCGCAGCTGCAGCGGCAGGTCAGGCCTAAGACGTTCGGAGGGAAGAGGAGAGGATGGAGAAAGGAGACCCAGTTCCCAGCGACTCAGGAATTCAGCTTCAAGGGCTCTCGGGAGCTAGATCAGGTACTAGGCCAATCCTCCAACCCCTCAGCCCCACCCATGAAACATGCATCTTCCTGAACCTTCAGTGTCTGCAGCTGAGGGGTTCTGTCAGCCTTTCCCGCCTCGAGAGTTTTAGACAAAATCCGAGAGCTTTTGCTCTTTCAGCTCCTTTCTATTCAACACATAGCGGAGTTTCTGCTGGCGGGAAAGCCCCGAGAACTCTGTGGGTCACCCATACCACACACAGCACACAGGATGCCACCCCAGCATCCGGATGCTCCAGAGCTCCAGAGCCCCATGTGAAAAATAAATAAGTCTATTTCGAAAGCAACTTGAGTGGGCATCAGTCCAGCCGCCGTCGCAGAGGACACACTAGGCCTGGAAAGCTTGAAACAGATGTAAAACGCAGAGATGCGCAGACAGCTTTGACTTTTTTTTTTTTTGAGAAGCAAAATTCTTGATCCTTTCCCTCCACCTTCCAAGTGTTGAAATTGCAGGCACTCTCCACCACAATGAGCTTTTTTGAGACAGGGTTTCTCTGTGTAGCCCTGGCTGTCCTGGAACTCACTCTAGACCAGGCTGGCCTTGAACTCACAGAGACCTGCCTGCCTCTGCCTCCCAAGCGCTGGGACTAGAGGCCTGGGCCACCAATGAGCATTCTTTTGTGACACAGGATGGAACCCAGAGATCTAGTCTGCAAAACAATAAAAGCATAAGGAAGTTGTGGGTCACACAACCACAGAAAGAAAAGGACTAGAGCTGGGCCACAGTGACTGCTCATACCTGTGAGCCCTGCCCTTGGAAAACTGAAACAGGAGGATAACCATGAGTTCAAAACCAGCCTGGGTGAGAACAAGACCTGACTCAAACCCAGTGTAAAACCCTGATGGTTATAACTCAAGGCCTTTTCCATTTTAATTATGTATATGTGAGAAATGGAGGGAGGGAGAGGGGGAAGGGAAGGAAGAAGGGGGAGAGAGAGGACAGGAGAGAGGGGAAGGGAGGGAAAGAAGAGGGACAGAGAGAGACAGAGCTCCTGTTGAATAACTGCCTTTCATCTCCGCTCTTAGGAGGCAGGTGAAAGTGGATCTCTGTGAGTTCAAGGCCAGCCCGGTCTACAAAGCGAGCCCAGGACAGCCAGAGCTATTATACAGAGAAACCCTGTCTCAAACACAAACACCCAACACCACCACCCAAACCCAAACAAAAAAACAAAACAAGGCAAAACAAAACCCATCCGTGTCACAAAAGCAAATTTGCTGTCCCATGTGACTTTGAAGCCAAGCCAACTCAAGGCCCCATCCCAGGTCACTAGCACCAGGTCATATTGAGAAAACTGGCCAGTCTGAGTGAGTCCCCGGGTTCCTGGAGGTTAAGTTTCCCAACTTGGGCAACTGACCCAACTATTGTCAGGACACCCACCTGCTAAAGAATGTGGGCGTGGAGACTGGGGTGTCTGCTACCAACTCCGCAATGATTCAGCATCAGCGCACCCAAGGGGTGAGTTCAGAACTAAGGGAGCCAACAGGCTGCCAAAGCCACCACCTACAACAATGCCACACTGAAGTCACCTCCGCCTCTCGACGCACGCCAGTGTGCGGACCAGAGCCTGGCTTAACAACCTCAAAGCTACTTCGCCATGGAAAGGGACCCTCTGCGACTCCTGAGCCGCCCTGCGCCTGAGCTGGGCACCAGTCCTCAGATGACGAAACCCAGGCAGGGCAGCTCTTCGGCTGCAGCTGGGCACAATTCATCACGACGTAAGGCTGTGACAACACTTAAGATCAATAAAGCAGTGTGACAGCTGGGCCCCAGTCAGGCCCAGGCCCAGTGTGGGCCCCCTGTTGCTCTCGCCCCCACACCACCTGCTAGAGAGGCCCCTGGAGGAAACTCTCAGCACTCTGCCCACTGTTCCTGGCTCACAGGGTTCTTGCCTGAGGGTGTGACTCAAGAGTGGCAGCCGCCTGCCCCAAGGTAGAGTGAGCTAGAGTGGACCCACTACTCTGCGCTGCTGGCTTGCACCTGAGCCCAAAGAAGAGGTAGATTTGGGGAACCTGGCGACAGTGGAAAACAAAAACGTCCACTCACCTGGAACCAGGAGGAAGAGCCGCTTCTGGGAGCTTCGGAGGCCTCCCTCTGCCCTCACGAGCACTGGAAGGAGCCTCTTTGCCCAGGAACAGCCTGTGCCTTCCCCACGCCCACCCTGAGAGCTGCCTGAGCAGTGAGTGGCACAGTCAGACTCTAAACTCCCAAGATGAAGCTCACACCATCTCCGTCGCTCCGCGTCTACCAAGGGCGCAGCAGTCCGCACACAACAGCTCCTGACGCCCTCCTCCCTGCCCCCGGCTCGTTCGGAGCCTGGGACAAGCCCTCCAGTGCTCCAGGACCCCGGCCTCTCTGCCGGCTGCTCAGCCTCTCACCCAGGTAACAGACACAGCTTTTCCCAGGCAAGGACACTACCCTCCCCACAGCACGCACACTGTTGGCGAGGGCTCTGGCCTGAAGCCACAGTGCAGACAGACACGGGCACGGGTCAGGGTGCAGGTGCGCTTTATTGGCCGCAGGCAGTTCTACAGGTGCCCGAACAACACACCTGCATGCACTTGACCTCTAGCCAGGGCCCCATGACCCAGCCCCCGCCTTTCCAAGCGGACCCAGGGACTCAACGCTGGAACTCCTGCCACCATTTGAGCCACCCCTCCTCCCCCTGACCTCTGCCCTGTCCCTTGGGTTCTTGCCACTGGGTTGCAGGGCTCATGGGAATAGCACTGGGGACTGCCAGGGTGTATGGCCTTCCGTGGCCCTGCCCGCAGCAGGCTGCCCGAATAAAGACAGAGGCACTGTTGTGGGTTGTACAGAGGTAGCCACGCTCAGCTCTGAGCTGCCGACTAACTTCTCGGTCGCAGGTCACAGCAGCTGGCCTTCCCTGTCCCCGAGACAGACGTCCCTCAGTTTTCACAGCGAAGGCACGGCTCTGCCCTCTGCCTCAGTCCACAGGCAAGCCAGCCCCGGGAGGGCTCAGCTCCGGTAGCTCCGGAGCACATGCCCCGCAATCACCAGCCTCTGGATCTCGCTGGTGCCTTCATAGATCTCGGTGATGCGGGCGTCTCGGTAGTAGCGCTCAGCGGGCATCTCAGTCACGTACCCCATGCCGCCCAGGATCTGGATGGCCTAAGAGACAAAGCAGGCTCTAGGAGGGAGGAGTCCCCCCGGGGGGTGGGGGGACAACACGCCCAAGCCTTTGGTGCTCACCTGGTGGCTAATGGCGGTTGCGGCTTCTGATGCAGCCAGCTTGGCCATGGCCGACTCCTAGCCACCCGGAATGGCAGAGTTAATACCTTCACTTTCAGAGGGACCCCCCCAGGGATCCACACAGGGACTTCAGAGTCCCAAGCCGCCCCTCCCCCACCTCAGGGCGTGCCTCGGGAGCCCCTCCCCACGGGCACCTTGGTGAAAGGCTTCTTATTGTCCTTCAGCATAGCAGCTCTCCAGGTCAGCAGGCGGGCACTCTCCAGGGCCAGGGCCATGTCTGCCAGCTTGAACTGCAACGATCCGGCCCCACCCATCAACCAGAGCTCTCCCTCCCTGGGGTCAGATATGGGGGGGGCAGGAGAGCTGGGGGGTTGGAGTGATAGGGGTGGTTGTGGCGGGATGAGAGGGCAGATGAGCAGGTGAAAACTGCACCGCTTCAGGGAGCTAGCTCCTGAAGCCCCACCCTCCAGCCCCCTACCTGGATGTTTTGGAGCTTGGTAAGGGGTGCCCCAAAGGCGCTGCGGTTCTCGGCGTATTTCACAGCACAATCCAGGGAGGCCTGGGCAATGCCCAGGGCTTGGGAAGCAATGCCAATGCGGCCCATGTCCAGGGTTTGCTGTGGGGACCGTCTAGTCAGGAGCTGCAGGCCGGGCCCAGCGGGGCCCCAGGGTGCCGCCCTGCTGCCAGGCTCACCATGGCTATTTTGAAGCCCATCCCTGGCTCCCCTAGCAGGTTCTCCTTGGGGATGCGACAGTCCTCGAAGATGAGGTTAGCTGTGGATGAGGCCCGGATGCCCAGCTTGTCCTCCTTCTTGCCCAGCGTGAGCCCAGGAGTCGGCATGGGAACCAGGAAGGCGCTGATACCCTGGAAGACCCACAAGTTAGGAGGGCTCCCCAGAACTGCTTCCAGAGCCCATGGAGCCACAGAGCTCCAGCCCTGCCCCACTCCAGCCACTGCTGGCTTTGGGGAGAAGGGTCACACCCACTGGGCAGAGAAAGCCTCCCTGCCAGCCCCTGCAGGGTCAAGGAAGTTCTGACAGAAATGCAAGGCCTGCCCTGGGGCTGTGCCGGCCCACCTTGTTCTGCCGGGACCTGTCTGTGCTGGCAAACACCACAGTGGCGGAAGCCTCCCAGGAGTTGGTGATCCAGGCCTTGGTGCCGTTGAGGACCCATGAGTCACCCTCTTCTCGGGCTGTGGTGGAGGCGGCTCCGGCGTCGCTGCCGTTCCCTGCCAGGAACAACAGACTCAGGACCAGCTCGGCCTCCTCTCAAGCCACAACAGGGCATCTAGCTAGCTCAGAGCCCTGGCTGCCAAGCACGCACACACTGCGACCTGACCTCTAAAGCGGGACCTTGTTCCCAAACCTTTAAAGGACACGGGGATCAGGGCAGGCATGGAACATCTTCGCGCCAAACCTTCCCTCACCCCAGGTGGACAGCGAGTCTCCTGGTGCACCCAGGCCGTTGCAGACCAGCCCGGCAGCCCACCCTGAGGCCCCTCCAGTGGCTCAGGACTGCAGGAACAGCAGGCCTGCCTCTGCCTCTGGGGGCACCTGGCTTCTGCCTGTCACCCTGACTCTGAGGTGAGGCGACCCTGCACCATGCAGTACCTGGTTCACTGAGGGCAAAACAACCGATTTTGCCACCGTTGGTGAAAGGGGTTATCCACTGCCGTTTCTGCTCTGGGGATCCAAACTTCAGGATGGGCCCCAAGTAGAGAGACTGGCGGGGACAGCGGAGAGCAGCCGAGGTCACCCCAGTGCTCGCTCTCTCCAGACACCCTCCCAGGGGACTAAGGCCACAAGCCACTACGAGGAGAGGAGCCCAGGAGCCCAGGCTGCCTGTGGCTGGCTGCAGAGACAGCGGCCAGGGTCTACCCCGTACCCCAGGCAGCTTCCCCAACCCAGGACCCAGAAATGCTCACGTTGTTGACGCTCATGATTACTCCGGTGGAGGCGCAGGCTCGGCTGATCTCCTCCAGGGCGATGGAGTAGGCCAGGTAGTCCAGGCCCGCGCCACTCAACTCCTCCGGCACGTCCATAGCCAGCAGCCCGAGCTCACCCATCTTCTTCACCTGACCCCGGGGAGGGTGGTCCCATCAGGGGCAGCTGCCGAGAGCCTGAGCTCCCCAACCCTCTGGCCCCTGGGCCGGGACCCTAACCGTTCACACTGTGATGGCATTCCCCCAGCTGAGACCTGCTTGTCCCATTCCAGCTACGCAGGGGCCACACGTAAAGATGCTTGCATCTCTGCCCGCAGCTGCAACGGGGAACACTGACCTTTCAGTCCTCTGCGTGTGTGTGTGCGCGTGAGTGAGTGCGTGCGCACCATGGGGCCTTCGAGTGTGCCCTGTGGCTTTACTCTGCCAGGTCCCCACTTCGGTCTGCCGAACCTTGTGACACTTCCACAGCTGGAACTCATCTGTTTACGTCGCTTTAACTACTGTCTTCTTCCCTGGCCATGAGGACAGGCACCTTGTGGGGTTCTGTGTTTTCTACCCTTACTGTTGTGTACCCAAGGCCGGTGAGTAAAAGAATTGGTGACAGGCGCTTGGGATTTCTATTTAGAGACATTAGAAATAATAGCACCATGCTCTAACCAACTGAGCTAGCACGACAGCTAAGGACATAGCGCCGGGTGTGGTAGTACACGCCTTTGATACCAGCACTCGGGAGGTAGAGGCAGGTAGATTGTTATGAGTTTGAGGCCAGCCTGGTTTACAAAGAGAGTCTAGAAGAGCCTTATACAAAGAAACCCTGTCTCAAAAAATCAAACCAAACCAGATCAAACCAAATAATAGCAACAAAATAAACCAACAGAATAATTGCAATGGTTAAGGGTGAGAGGTAGGTATGAGTGGGGTCAAACTGAACAAATCAGCTTGCTCTGTCACTCAGTCAGCCTCTGAGGGAGGTCCCTTCACCCTTTAGCCTGATATTCGGAGACACATGGACCACAGCAGGGCCAGCCTGGCCTCAGGAGAAAGGCCTGAGCCATTGGCTATCCTGGACTTGCTGGAGGGCTGCTTCCATGATCCCTGTAGCTACAGAACGCACAGGAGCTCTAGACAATGCACCCAATGTGCATTCTCCAGATACTTATTTTTTTCCTTTATCTTTACTTTGTGTCTTCAATGTTTTGCCTGCAAGTGTGTGTCTGCACCGTGTGTGTGCAGCGCCCACAGAGGCCAGAGGAGGACGTCAGATCCTCTGGGGCTAGAGTCACAGATGGTTGTGGGCCACCATGTGTGTGCTGGGAATTGAACCATGAGTTTGAGGAGCTGGGGGAAATGTGAGAGGGATTAGGAGGAGGAGTGGAGTGGGGAATGATGTAAAGTACTCACGTATTAAATTCTCAAAATGTTCTTGCTGTGACCTTGAACTTCTGATCCTCCAGCCTCTACTGCCTGAGTGCTGGGATTATAGGCTGGCACTCCTTACTGTGCTCCAAGCTAGAGACAGGGCGTGGCATGCCAGCACTCTGACAAATGAGCTACATCCCCACCCTACATTTTTTCCCCCAACAATATTTATTTATTTTGAGTTTCATAAATGAGTACTCTGCATATTTTTCTCCCTCTCCTCCTCTCCCTCTAACTCCTTTCACATTCCCCCAGTTCCTGAGCTTCGTGGCCTCTTATTCTCTAACCTAGAATTCTCTAGCCACCTGTTCACTTTTTTGAATGACTAATCCTCCTGCCTCTACCTCCAAGTGCTGTGATCACAGACGTGGGCCACCACGCCCTGCACTGCAAAATAAAAAGATTAAAATAAAAGTCTATGGAGGGGGCTGGAGAGATGGCTCATCGGTGAAGAGCACCGGCTGCTCTCAGGGGACCCAGGTTCCTTCCCCGGCACCCACATAGCTCAAAAACCATCCGTAACCCAGTCCCCGGGAAATCCAGTGCCCTCTTCTGGGTCCTTGAGCACCAGGCACACACATGGTGTCCAGACATATACGCAGATGTAACACCCATACACATAAAATATATTTTTAAGTTTACAGAAAACAAATTTAAAATATTTTTCTCCCCTGAGAAGGGGCAAGGGAGTGCAGGGCCCGGGACTCTAAATACCCCCCCAAAAAAATCACCACCTCAAGATTAAGAGCTCTGAAGTTGGCTGTAAATGTTGCCATTGTAAACTTGTATTTACTTCTTTCCTTTGTTAGTTTAGGCATAAAAAGACTGAAGTCCAATTTGGTTGTGGAACAGCCAAACGGCAGAAACTGGCGCCAGCCGTCCCCTAAATCTGGCCTTGGTTTCCTTAGCAGAAACAACACAATGAAGAACTCTGGTGCCCTGCTTTGAGGTGGACTACATAGCTGAAGCTCACTTTAAACCTGGGACCCTCCTGCCTCAGTCTCAGGAATACATCATGCTTTACCATCTAAATTCTTGTCAGATTTGCTTTTTTCAAGACAGGGTTTCTCTGTGTAGCCTTGGCTGTCCTGGACTCCGTTTGTAGACCAGGCTGACCTCGAACTCAGGGATTCTCCCGCCTCTGCCTCCCCAAGTGCTAGGACTACAGGCGTGCACCACCACACCTGCATATCACCTCTTTTTTTAAGATAGGGTTTCTCTGTGTAGCCCTGGCTGGCCCGGAACTCACTATGTAGACCAGGCTGGCCTTGAACTCACAGAGATCCTGCCTAGGCCTCTGGAGCTCTGGATTCAGAGCTGCATTCCTGCATTCCTTCTGTGAATAACCCACTTTCCCCAGCCTACCTGGTGGGTTTTTTTTTTTTTTTTATTTAACCCGTTTCCAGTTCAGCTGTTAAAAGTGAAAGCTGATGAGGGTGTTCTTGTGTTTGTCTGAGGGGGAACAAAGGCACCCAGCTTTGTTGGACATGTCCCGGGACAGCACTGAGTATCACACACACACACACACACACACACACACACACACACACACGGCAGAAGCACAGCTAGGAGGAGGAAGCCACGCGGCAGCTCGGGGTGGGACAGCGAGACAGCATCTGTGCCAACCTAGTCTGCCTCTGGAGCCTGGTGCTTGCGTGTGGCTGCGGAGTCGCGCGGTCACTGGTCAGCATTTTGTCTCTTAGCTGAGGATGCGGCCTGCTTGCTTCTTGTTACTGCATAGTGTTCTAAACCGCCAGGTACAGAATAGAATTTTAGGACAGTGAAGACTCAAATGCTGGTCCCTGGCATGGTGTGCTGCTGCGTGCTTCTATCCTGGCACTCAGGAGGGGGCTGAGGTAAACAGTTGTGACACTGAGGATCTACCTGGCAAGACCCTCTCTCCGATAACAAGCACAAAATGTTCGAGGGATGATGTGGATGTAAACATGGTTTTGTTTTGGTCCCAGGTGTGGGATGTGGCACCAATTCAGATGGTCCACAGCAGCAGGCTATTTGCCTCCTGCGGGCTCTGAGAGGAGCTCTTGGCCACCTGCAGGTAGTTTAAATCTGAGGACTCTAGAGAGAGAATAAATGCCAGAGCGCAGAGAGTGGAGACTGGAGAAAGAACAAGGCTGCTGCTGCTTCCCCCCTTGCTGCTCCTGGTTGCTGTTGTGAAGTTGGAAATCTACTGAAATGAGGACTGGAGGCTCCAAGGAACACAAGAACCCTGACCAGCAGGAAGCAGCTAAGAGAACTGTGACCCCTCTCCCACTAACCCTTTCTCTCTCCAACCTGGTGTTGGAAGGGCCTGGGGTGGAGTAGGGAGAAAAAGAGATAAGAAATGTAAATAAAAGTTTTATAATCCCTACAGAGGGATTATAAAAAACATAGAGGAAAACAGGTGTACTGTCTGTCAGTGTAGATGATCTCAACATACTGGTCCAGGGTAGTGGCCTCCGTGGAGCTTAGGCCCCAGGGTCTGAGTCTGGCTCCAAAACCCTTCCTCACCCACCATCCCGTAGTTGTCCCTGGGTCCCACTGACAGCAGGGAAACTACTTTCACACTGTAATGACACTGTCAAGCCCCCTGGAGCTGTGCCTCGAATCCCACCGCCTCAGTGGAGATGTAAAGGTGGGGTCTTTGTGAGGGGAGGAAGAGAGGCGGGCAGGCCCTCAGGCTCCAGGACCAGCAAGCCCAGGAAGCTGGACTTCTCCCTTCTCCGCTGCCTTAGCTTTGTAGAAATGACTACGGGGCTGAGATGGTTCTGTGGTTAGGAGTACTAGCAGCTCTTCGAGAGGACCAGAGTTCAGATCCCTGCACGCACCCCAGGCAGCTCACAATCACCTGTAACACTGCACACACACAAAGGCAAAAGAAAACAATTACAGCAGTTGGCTCAGTGGGCAATGCACCCGCCAGGCAAACCTGATGCCCCGAGCTTGACCACAGGAATCTATGTGAAGGGAAAAGGAGAGAGAATCCACCCCCCCAACTGCTGATCTCTCCACACATGCCAAAGCGCACACACGTCCCTATGCATGTCACACACACACATGTGCACAATGATAACAAAAGCGTGAGAGAGAGGTCCACTGTGCCGGGTGTGGCGGCACACGTCTTTAATCTCACTACTCAAGAGGCAGTGGCAGGGAGAGCTCTTTGAGTCTGAGGCCAGTCTGATTACACAGCAAAAATTCCAGGTCAGTCAGGGCTGCATACTGAGACCCTGTCTCAAGAAACCAAAACAGGGGCTAGAGCGATGGCTCAGAGGTTAAGAGCACTTGATGCTCTTACAGAGGACCAGGGGTCAATTCCTAGCACCCATATGGCAGCTCACAACTGTCTGTAACTCCAGTTTCAGGAAATATGATGCTCTCTTCTGGCATTACACACACACACACACGATACACAGACAAATAGGCACTAAATTAATAAACCTTTTAAAAATGTTACAGGTTTTGACCAGCCGCCTGATGCCGAACAAAGCCAAGCTTCTGAACATGCAGTGAGCTTCCCAGCGTCTTGGTGCCCCTAGCTGCTGTGTCGACTGAGGCTGCTACTCTCACCTGAGCTTTGGGGAAGAGGTGCTCCTTGTCCAGCTGGGCTGCAATGGGGACCAGCTCCTTCTCAGCAAAGTCACGGCATGTCTGGCGCAGCATCTGATGTGTCTCGGGCAGTTCCGCAGACTGGTAAACGGTGTGTAACCTCCGCCAGTCCCGAGCATGGAGAGCTATCAGAGAAGGGCCCGGTCAGGGAAGAACAGTGCAAGAGATCTTAACACTCACTTCTTTTTATGCGCCTGGTATCTGTGTTTACGTATGTGCACATGCATGTAGGTGGCCACAGAAGCCAGAAGGGGGCGCCAGATCCCCTGGACTTGGAGTTACAGGTGGTTAAGCGCTGCCCAACACGGTTGCTTGGATCTGAACCCAGGTCTCTGCAAGAACAGCAAACACTGAAGTAGGGCATCTCTAGAGCCTGGGGCTAGCCTATGCAATGTCAAGCCTCCACCTCAGGCTCTGCAGCGATGGCTCAGCGGTTAGGAGCACTTGCTGCTCTTTCCTGAGGAACCCGGCCAAGTTCCTCCTATCCACTGGGTGGCTTGGACTGTCTGTAACTCAAGTCTCTGGGGATCCAATGCACTCTTCTGGCCTCTGTGAGACAAGGCACATTTCACTTAGATGTGTGCAGGCAAAACACATTAAATAAAAACACCCCTAACCACCGTCTCAAAGGGGAAAAACACCTTTATTGATACGATGTCAAGAAGGCTGTTTCTGAAAAGCCCAGATTAACTGAACGATTAAGTGCTTGCCAAACACTTCAAATTACTCCAAATTACAACGCCTCGGGAAAGGGTTTTACGTTTCACTGGGTCTCGATTTCTATAAACTGTAACAGCAACACTCGGCTCCCGGGATTAAAAAAGTACTTCACACAGGTCTGTAATGTGGACCCAGATTAGCCAAGGGAAGCGCTGGCCATAAAAACAACTAACCGCTAACGTGAAGGAAACACCCGTCAGACGCCAACCACTGCGATTTTAAATGCAGCCTGTGATTAAATACAACGCTTAGGACAGAAACGGTTCACGGTTCACGCTTGGACCAATTGATGCTGGCGTCACGTCCAAGGTCACAGGTCAGCGTTCAACGCCAGGCCTCAAAATGGAAGACCAACTCACCCAGAAATTCGGTTAGGACTGAACTGGGGGTAGGGGTGTGGATGCGACCGCGGAAGGGGGAGCTGGCGATGAGGGTCCCACAGGATGAAAGCCCAGCAGGAGCCGGGATCCCTGCGGAGCGCGCGCCCCGCACGGGCCAGAGGCTACCAAACTAGGGCAAAGGCCGCGCGGCCGCGGGGAGCTCCCAGCTCGTCCGCCCGCGGTCACGGCAGGACCCCCCGCCAGGATCTCCGCCGTGTGACCGGCCCTGGGGCTCCGCGGGCGCAGCCCGAGCGCACTCACCTCTACGGAGAGGGCCACGGGCGAGCAGAGAAGCGGCCATGGGCACGGACCTCCAGGACCTCCTGTAGCTGTTCAGTTCCGGAGGAGACGGGCAGGCTCGGGCCACGCCCATCTGGTTGCAGGGGCGGGACCCAGCAGGGCCTGGCCACGCCCAGTCACTGCAGGGGCGGGGCCGGCGCACAGCCTTGGGACACGTCCACCCCGCGGCCAGGCCACCTGCGGGAAGTTAACGCGGTCCAATCCAGAGAACGCAAAGTCTGATCCCTCTCCTGCGATCGTCTTTAGTAAGGCCGCTGACGACGCAGGAACAAGCAATCAATCCTCGGTTCAAAACCCTCAGTCCGCGAACCTATCTGCTAAAGAGCTCGCTCTCTCATTCTAACGACTCCTGAGCCTGAGGCAGGAGGATTGCAAGTTCAAGATCTCCTTGTATTACAAAGTAAATTCAAGGCCAGCTTGAGCAACTTTGTGGTATCTTAAAAATAAAAGTATAAAAGAAAAATAAAATAAAATTAAATTAAATAAAAGTATAAAGAGGGCGTGGGAACTATGGCTCAGTGGTAGAGCCCTGGCCTAGAAGACATAAGGCATTGGGTTCAGTGTTAGGGAGAGAAGAAAAGAGCCAGTACCCATCCCTGCCCACCCACTTCCACATGGTGGCAGCGTAGTCCCTGGCTCCCTGACCAGCTCTGCGCTGGCAGCTCTTCCGCCTGGACGCTCTTCATGAAGGCCACCTCACCCAGGCTGGCCTGCCACCTTCCCCTAGTCCACACATCCTTTTATTTACACTTTGCCCCTGGGATTTCCAAACCGGCTGGAGGGCACAGTATTTAGGCCCATTGCGTGGGGTTGCCAGGCAGGAAGAGCCTTCCAGCCCTAAGACATGAAAGTTAAAAGAGCTACTGTCTTATGCACCTCCTAGCTGGGGAGCAGAGCCCTGTTGGGAATGGGGTATTGCCCATTAATGCCAAGGGTTGCGTCCTGGCACCCTCAGAATACCTCCACTCTGCCCCCAAAAACTCTTGCCGTGTATCAATGTCATTTGGCCCATGGAGTCCACCTTCAGCAAGTCTGACTCTGACTTCATGCCCTCCTGGTTCACAGGCACTCAGGAACCAGACACTGGACCTGGCACTGTATTGTGCACTGTCCTGCACACCAAGATCTCATGTCCTCCTGGGGATTGGTCCACTTCCTAGAAAACAATAAACCGAGTTGGAGGATACTTGATCACGCTGTGAACCCAGAGACTGGAAAAACCTCTTTCTAGTTGTGGTGTGGCTCAGCCCTATCACACACTTTTAACCTAAGAGCCTTCTGCTTGAGTGCTGCAAACAGGATTACATAAAATCAACCATAGATGAAGAGGTGAAGCAAGCAACCAGTTCACAGGAAGTGAACACAGGAAAAAACATGGAGAATAATACGAAGTCAGGAGGATGGAGAGAGAGATACAAAGGAAGCAGATGACAGGAACAAGAAGTATGAAGTGGGGCTGGAGGCTGGCTCAGAGGTTAAGGGCACTGTCTGCTCATGCACAGGTCCTGAGTTCACAGGACCTGCTCATCCACAGGTCCTCATTATAGATGGCTCACAACCATCTATAATGAGATCAGGTGCCCTCATCTGGCATGCAAAGCATACATGCAGATAGAACATTGTATACATAATACATAAACACATCTTTTTTAAAAAATTATAAAGTGTGAGGGTTTTTTTTTTTTTTTGAGGGAGCATGGGGAAGGAGCCTTCCTCACACGTCTCTGTGTGTGTGTGTGTGTGTTGTTTTTTTATTTTTTGAAACAGGGTTTCTCGGGATAGCCCTGGCTGTCCTGTTTTGTAGAGCAGTCTGGCCTCGGACTCACAGAGATCCACCTGCTGGGTTTAAAAGCATACACCACCAGCAGTACACATTTTTTAACTGCTGAGCCTTCTCTCCAACCCTTACAAATGTTTTGGTTGAAAATATACACATTTTCTGAGAAAGGCAGAACTGGACTGGCTGGAAGGGACTGAGCCAGGGAGAACTGACTACAAACACACAGGAGGCAATGTTCTGCGTAGTGACTGTGGTGGGGGATAAGGTTGTTGTACCTGTCAAAACGTGTGGGGGTTGGCTCTTGGTTCCTTTCGTGATGGGGCTCAAATCCAGGGCAAGCCCTGCATTGCTGAGCTATAATATCCCCAGCCCAAACTATGCTTTTGAATTTGCTTATTTTCTACAACAGGATCTGGCTATATAACCCAGGCTGCCTTTGAACTTCCAATCCTCTTGCCTGATGGCACATACTTGCAATTCCTAGCTCCAAAGTGTACTCATTTTTTAAAAAAGATTTAATATTGACATGTGTGTGTGCCTGCGTGAGTTCGTGTGTATCGTGTGTGTGTGTGTGTGTGTGTGTGTGTGTGTGTGTGTGTGTGTGTGTGT